GGAAGAAGTGACGCCACCAGTGGGGGCTGACGCGCCAGTTCCAACTCCTTCCCCATCACTAGACACAGATTCCACCTTCTCCACATGGGCTAGGTTCCCTGAATCAAAGCGAGAACTGAACAGCAACCCCCCACAGCGCAGCTCCATGACGGGGCTGGGAAAGCATCCTCATGCACCAGTCTGGCCCTGAGACCTAGGGAAAAATAAGGGTTGGGTAGAAGGGGAAAGAAACATGAAACAAGGTTTTCAGATATGAATGAGAGCCATTCCCAGGAATGCCCTACAAAGCAGAAGGTTCTCCTTAGAGAACATGGAAAAGGCCTTCCAGCAAGCCAAGAGAAAGCAGCATTCCACGCCCACACTAAGGATTACCACTGACCTAAAAGGACCCATTTTACTACAGAGCAGCTGTTTCCAAATTAGATACCCAGAGGATGAACAGTTTTGAGAAACACTAGGCTCAAAGCCTTTGTGCAGCCCAAGAGTAAGGGACTAATGAGGTCAATTTCCCAAACCTAGCAAGGATAACCACAGCACAGGGCCATCTTGAGAAGTGGACCACTCTGGATCTGTGTCCTAGGCTGGCTATGCACTTTGCAGTTCAGAGCAGAGAACTGTTGTAACGTTTGAATGAGTAGCTTCCTTCACTCCTGTGTGCCCACAAGCACTGACAAAATTCTGCTGTGGCTTCCCTGAGCCCTGGAAGAGCTAGTTCCTTTCCTTCTTTTGCCTTTGCTCATCTGAGTCTGCAGCTCCACTCGAGTCAGGGCATGGGTCTGTCTCCATGTCCCAGCCTCCAGGCGCTGGAGCTCTGGGTACCTTAGGTACCCCTAAAAGACCGAGTCCCTGGGGGCTGGGAGGGGCTTCTGGACCGCCACCGGTGGAGGACCCTCACAACCTGGGCTTTCCCTGGGCAGGGCGAGGTTTGGAGGCACGGGAGGGGCCGACAGACACACTGGAGAGGGTGGGAGGACCCGGGCTAAGGTCGGAGGTGAGGCCAAAGGCTGGGGC